TATAAGGCATCGACTGCTGGAAGTCTGGCAGTTTTCGAACGTAGGGACTATCTGAACAATTGTAAGTTGTCTAACCGTCCGTTTTTGCGATTTGTGGGACGTAGAGTTGGCCTGGAAGTTGTTTAGATAGACTATTTTTGTGGGTGTGTTTGTGTGTTTAAATGGAGGTCTTGTGAAGGTGAGAGGTGCCTCCATGTCTGCAGGTTCCCTTGGGTAGGATTCAACCTCAGCAAAATCTGTCATTGGAGTGTGACAGGCGAGTTTAAGAGCGGCATCAGTTGGTAAGCTGCGTGATTGTCAGCTGGAGGAGATATGTTTCGCTAGGAGTCTAGTTGTAGCAGCCTGCAATTTTCCATTCTATAATAGAGGACATAGGACCAACCACAAGCGGGTAAGGCCAGCCAATGGGGTGGAAGACCGTTCTGAGCGGTCGGTCCTCGTGAAGTTGCGATTGCTCTGTGCCACCGCTCGATTGGGGTAGGTCGAATGCTGCTGTTCCTCCTTGCTGACGTGTGTGTGCCTGAACAAAGCTCATGTCGCAAGTCTGAGGAAACGATGGTCATAGGGTGGTCTAACTGTCTCGTGTTTTGATTGGTCGAGATCGCATAAAATTGTTCATGCGTGACACTGGTCAGATGAAGGAGTCCAGAGGAAGGATGCGTATGTTGAGATGCTTAATAATTCGTCTGGTTAGCACATTTTGATTGCGGGCGGAAAAAAGTCCTCCAGACGTTGAATTCAGTGCCTAGAGTAGCATATCTACTGAACTGTCCGACCTACTATTACGAATTTTCAGCATTCATTTTCCAAGCACTAAACCGGGCAATCGATTTGTTGTCCATTGGCGTGTAGTTTAGGTCATGCCACCAGTTTAAATGTACCTAAGCGCAGGGTTATGCACTTGAGCCTTTCCCTCTTTCACATTGCGCTTGTCACCTCCCTCTCAGAGGCTCTATCATCAGAGGATCGGGAGATGCTCACATTTCTGCACGTCTCAGCCCGGTTGAGTGTAAAGCCGCCCGCTATCAACATGCATCCGTTGCTGTGGTCTACGGAGTTGGAAAATCTTGCTCGCACATGGGCCGAAAAGTGCTTGTGGGGCTTTCCAGATCCAACCATCCCAGATGAGAAACCGCTACTTTATGTGGGCATCAATGTTGCGATGATATCTACTGATGAATTGCAAGGTGATAAGGCACCTTTGCCTCCCGTTTCGATTTTATTCAATCTGTGGTACGTAAACACGCAAAACTATGACTATGAATTGAATATTTGTAAAGGAGGCTATTGTAGTCAATATAGGCAGATTATTTGGGCCGCCACAGAACAACTAGGCTGTGAGAGGGCTATCTGTGGCAAGGGAGCAAAACGTCACGTCCTTGTCTGCTGTTACTATCCGCCGGGGAATTACTCGGAACTCCGACCCTACCAAGTTTTGGAAAGTGAGGATGACTTTCCTTTAGACGAGGAACCATGGATTATGCGACCGGCTAGGATCCAAAACACAACCACCAAAAAAAATATTGGTTTATCAGTTATTGTTGCAAATTTTGAACTTGTCCTTATATCCTCATTAGTCCTTATGGTCATTTAAATTGGACGAAACACGTATAACTTTGAAAGTGGTTTTCCCTTCGTTTCTACTGATTTAAATTCAGTAGCGAGACACGTTTAATAAGCACTATTGCTAAACAGAAAATAATCGACTTAAAATAAAGTGCAAAAATGAATAGTTTTGTGCTATAAGTTTAGCTTGAGCTAGTGCACTGCTGTGTTATAGTCAGGATGTTTTATAAATGTAGTGATCAGGTTAACCAAAATGGGCAAAATCCCTATCGCGCCTAACGAGCGATTTGCCTAGTCTTACAAACAAACGCATTGTTGTCGTTAAACTTGCCTCCATTGCACTACCTATTCATGAGAAAAGGCAGGGAAATATAATGTGCGAATTCCCTAAGCATTGTTGGAGAGGTTGTATCCTCTCGCCTGTTAGATTCCTTTGTGGTCTGCTTGCCGTCGAGGTGTCTCGCCGAACTCGTGCATGAAAAAGCGCAGTGTTTACGCACCACTCATAGCAGCATTGTGGTGGCAGGTGGCTCCTTGAGGTCGGACCTCACATTGTGTGTGTGTGTGTGTGTTAATTTGTGCTAGGAGGTGAGAGTAAACACTACCATGATGGCATGTGATGGCACAGCCAAGTACCAACTTCACTTTCAGTGCACACTTCTTGGCGTGTTTATTTGGGAGGTCGGACATGCGACATGGTGTTAACCTTGCCACCGTGGTTACACTCAGTGTCACAGGTTCA